CCTGTGGCCCCTGGCACCCTTTGATGCTGTGAGATGCATCCTTTCAAAGTATGATCTCTCCCAAGGGTCTTGGGCTTAGTTGGATCAGAGGGACTTTCACGTCTTTTTCCTGGGAAACACAGGTTTTGGGGGCTGGTGAGTTCTGAAATATTCTCCTCCCTCTACCCTGAGGCCTTCAGAAACAGCACAGGCCCTCACAGTGCCCTCCACACTCCAGGGCTCCCACCCAAAGGCACTCTGGGATTTAGAGGAAGCATGTCTTGGTTGATCCCATTTGTCTGGAGGCTTGCTTTTAATCTTGGTTGGTCTTGAGCTGGTTAGGAGGCCCCTACAGCTCACGGACTTTTCTCAACGCCAGTTAACAATCTTCATTTCTTCTGTGGCTGTATTTTACCATCTGATTTCTGCTACCTCAGTATCTAAATTTAAATGCAGTCAGGACAAACCTCATCCTTTGTCACATATGTGTTTGCTTTTTACAACACACATGCACATAGTACTCCAAGAGCATTTATTTCCATTATTTCTGGTGATGAGAACAAAACCCCTTATGTTCACAGATCCCTCAGCGTACCTCCATTTTATAGAGAAAGAGGGGTCTCAGAGTAGAGTGCCCTGTTCAGGTACTTAGGATGGTCAGGGACCCAGGGAAAGTCCAGCTGTGTCCAGGACATGGATGTTTCTTTGCTTCTTGGACCTCATCACCATGAGAGTAGTTAAGTGTATAGAAATTATGTAGTTAGGGGCTGGAGGTTTAGTTCAGGGGCATAAGCACCTGCCTTGCAAGCAGGCGGTCATGAGTTTGATCCCTGGTACCAATAAAAATGAAAAAGACAAAAAAAAAAGAAATTATGTAGTTAAACCACTCTTTATCAATAATAAGAGAACTCTCAGAAATAGGAAAAACATCTGGTCAACATCTGTGTGTAGGGATGCAAGTTACATGCAACCCAGAAAATCTGAGTTTGCAATTCTGTGGTGGGAACATTGTTGAATAACTGCAGCAAGTCTACAGTTGATGGGAAATGCTGGTGTGTAAAGTTAGTTAAGAAAAAAGAGCTCAGAAGTATGTCTGCAGTGTGATCCCTAAAAATTGATACGGGAAAAATAAATCTAAGAAATAGAAGAGACAAACCAAATCTTCACAGCTATCTGTGCTTTGAGAAACCCTTCTTTCACTTTCTTATCCTATAATGCTATTTTAGAGTGGGAAGAGACAGTTTTGTCAAACAGGATGCAACTCTGGAATTTCCCCAACCAGAGGGAACCCCTGCAGTGATGCTAACCGACAAGGCCTTGCTCCTGCTTGTTCTGGTTGAGGATCTTTTGTACCACTTTTATTTTTTATTTTTATAATGTATCATTGTGGGCGGAGTTTCTTCCCAATGCTGTAGATGAGACATTCAAGATAGGTGTCCCTGCGCTAAAGTCAAGGTGCAGCAGGGAGGCTGACTCTGAGCTCCATGGGAGGGTCAATCTTCTGATGTAGTTTAAGCTGGCCTTGAACTCACTATGTAGCCCAGGGTGACCTTGAACTTACAGCAATCCTCCCACCTCAGCCTCCCAAGGGCTGAACCCTAACAGGCATGTACCACCTCACCTGTTGTGTACCAATTTTAAGGAATTTCCAATTGGGGCAGCCTACAGGGTGTGGGTAGTGTCATTCACTGAGTTAGCATGGAACACACGGCTCAGTGTGGTTGCCAGGGTCCACATAGCTCCTTGAATGGTTGCCTAGCAACTGGTCCAAAGCCCCTAAGCACTGGCAAGGGAAATGGGCTGAGGGAGCAGGGGTGCACACTCCCACAACCTTCCAAGACCCTGGCACCAGATGAATACTTGTCACTGAGGTTCAGACTCTCATGTGACTAATTATACATGTCCCTGCTATGGCTATGAGCCCAGCACTGGCTCCAGGTACCTGCTAAGCTCCAAGCAGACTGCTGGTGCTCCAGGCTGATGCTTGAGGAGTTTAGAGAGTCAGGCCTCATCCAAAGCCATATGGCCCATGGCAGCTCCTCACCTGGGCCAGTTTCTTCCAGCCCAAACTGGGTGAGGATCTTCACCTCAGAGGAATGGCCTTCGGGAGGGGACCAGGCAGGAGACAGAAAGCATCACAGCTCCTGCCAGAGTAGCTTCATCGGGAAGGCTATGGTAAGGTCAGGCAGCCTGCAGTTTACCTGAGTCTGTTGGGGAGAATGGGGCAGTGATGGTGGGGTGTTACAGCCCTATTTACAAAGAAGGAAACTGAGGCACAAAGCACTGACAGCAGCACTCAGAATCTGGTGTGCAGCCTGACCACTCCCCGTAGTACATGGCTTTGGTGGGTGAGAATCTGGTTCAGGGCACTGCCCCAGGAGATGGGAGGCTTTGGTTGAGATGACAGGTGTAGCCCAAGGGCAGGTTTACCCTTGAGGTTTCTCCCTGACCCCCAGGGCCAGCCTCTTGCCAGCTGCACAATTGGCAATAGGGTCCTTATAGGCCTGAGCCCTGGGGAGGACAGGGTGGAGGCAGAAGTAACCTAAGCACCCCAGTGCTGTCTGCTGGTCACAGAGTTCCTGTGCGGATCTTGAGGGCAAGAGGGCTGGATGCAGGGTGGGGAGACCCCTAGTTTGTACCTTATCAAGTACTTTCACTACCTGGGCTGGGAGCTGAGTGTCAGCCGCCTCAGGTCTGGGTTTGTGGCCAGCACATTGGCTGACAGCTGGCAGGCTTAGCGTAGCTGTCTTCTCAGGGGGAAGAGTGTGGAGCTAGCAGGAGCTGTGGGGACTACAGTGTGAAATGAGTGTGGAGCCTAAGGGGTAGAACAGTAGCAGGGCCTCCCAATTTCTTTGCGGTGGCTCCCTGCATTCTGTGGTGAGGCCTGGACAGGGTCAACTCTGGCTGTTCTAAGTGACATTAGCCAGGGCCACTTGATCCGAGCAGTCCTGTAGACCTGGTGCCCACGTAGTCATCCCAGGAACTGTGGTCAAACCCCATTTAGGTGAAAGGACAGTCAGGGGCTTTCTTGGGCAGCCATGGGTATGTCAAGGTCGCAGGACTGTTTTGGCCACATGCTGAAGGTGTAGTGTGGCCTGTGATCCTGACGACACTCTTCACCTCATCTTCAGCAGGTTAGTAGCAGGAAACAAGCAGCTCTGCATACAAGAGACCCTCCTTGGCATGTGAGAGGGTCAGCCAGACAGTGCAGTTGAGCTGTTCCCTGTGCCCTGGCCTAGGGTGTGTCTTTGCATGGAGAGACTGTGTGTTGCCCCCATTGACCCTCCTGGCTTTTAGGCTGCCAGAGGGACATGTATCCTGGAGCTGGGTGAATGGTTCTGCATCCTAACCCTCAACAAGTGTCTGAGCTTGGCCCTGACCTGAGCTTGACCAGGGAAGTCTCACTCCCGCTGCTCTTTCCCTGGGCCTCAGGATCCAGGCCACTAGGGGTGTCTCCCTGGTCTCATCTCCTTCAAGCCCACCTGTGTCCTCTGTATACATAGCATCCATGGACCCTATGTGGGCCCAGGCCAAGCTCCCTGGCTTCAAGCTATCATCTATTGAGCCTGCAAGATGTGATCACAGGAAGATGACAAAATGCTGGGTCTGGGTTTCCGCACTCGCAATGCAGGTGTCTCTTCCTGTCACACCCAAGTATAGGGCAGGAAGGAGCTGCTGAGCTGGGCTGGCCCTCACTCACATGGGCAAGATAGACCCAGGAGGGGCACCAGAGGCCAGTGAGGCCCCAGACCCGCAGGTATTGCTGCCAGGGTGCAGTCCTTGATTCTCTAGAAATGGTGTCATAAGACTACACTGAGAAACTTGCTCCTTTCAGGGTGCTGCTCTGGTGGTTCCACCTTAGGACCTGCCGTAATTGTACTGGCCTTAGCTCACTTTCTCCTCCCATGGCAGCACACGGCTGTGTACTCAGGGGCCGCATAGCCATGGGCTGACTTTCAGCTAGAGCAAGGGTCTGCATTAGGGTCAAATTGGTACATCCTAGGTTGTTTGTAGACGGCACTGGTTAAGGACAGCCGAACAGGACTGCATTGTAGGCCTGGGGAAGGGACTGCAGGTGAAGGACCTTCACCCCCAAGTCTTTTGGTTAGGCAATGTGGCTGGCACTACACCAGAAAGATGGTAGGTGTTTCAAGGAGGCTAGACCAGTTGCAAATGGGTGTGTGTGTAAACATGACCAGGGAAATGTAGGGTGCCTTTGGGGCTGGTTCCCTTCCCAGCCATTTCTTCCATCAGCCTCTGGGAGTCAGGTGGGTTGGTCCTTAAGCTCTATACTGATCCTGATCTAAGAAGGTGTTGAGGGACGTCTGGATACCTGGGGACTGTGAGACTTATTCACCCTCCTTATCCATCTTGAGCCTTCACTGGGCCTCTCAGGCACCCCTCTCTGTTCACCAGTATTGCCCAGCAGGGGGAGCTACTAACAAAGCCTTTCAAGAGTCACGTTTTGGGGAAGCCTTCTCCCATCTCTTCTCAGGAGGGTTAGGACCCAGGCAAACACCAAACCCTCAGCCCCCATCTGTACCCCTGAAGGTTGCTGTCTTGAATGGGATCACTAGGTCTACTAGGACCCATCTGGCTTTTTTGGATAAAGGTGCTAAAAGTCAGGGCAGACTTAATTTCATTTGTGAAAAACCCGAGTTTCTTCCCTTTTCCAGGCTGCTTGACTCTAGAACTAGGTATCCCCCATTCCCTGTGGTAAACACTCTTAGAGTAAGGCAGGACATGTTCATATCCCAGGTGACAAGGATTTAAAATAAGGAATCTTTTCCCTCCAGGTAATAAGCAACTGCTAGCTGGCTTCCCCTCTGGCTCTGGGCTGTTTCAGCCAGCACACGTATAGCTTATGGTGCCCACCACTCATTTCCACAGGATGCCAGGCCTGCAAGGGGTTCAGGATTGTAGGATGAAGTGAGCAGATCCCCAAGAAAGTGGAGGAAGATTGATACTAGGTTCCTGAGACCCTTCCTGTTGCATGATGCTCTGTGTCCCCACAGTGCTTCATGATCTGGAACCAGAGCCTGGACGTGCCCTTGCAGGGCTCTTTCATCCTGCTGGGCTTCCCAGGTCCACCGAGTCTGCACATCGGGCTCTTTTTGCTCTTCCTAGTCATGTATGTGCTTACAGTGGCTGGGAACCTCGCCATCATCTCCCTTGTTGGGGCACACCAGCACCTTCGAACACCTATGTACTTCTTCCTCTGCAATCTCTCCTTCCTGGAAATCTGGTTCACTACAGCCTGTGTGCCTAAGACCCTGGCCACTTTTGCTTCCCAGAATGGAGCCATCTCTTGGGCTGGCTGTGCCACACAGATGTACTTTGTCTTCTCCCTGGGCTGCACTGAGTATTTCCTGCTGGCTGTTATGGCTTATGATCGCTACCTAGCCATCTGTCTGCCACTGCGCTATGTTGGCATCATGACGCCTGCCCTGGCAGTGCAGCTTGCCCTGGCCTCCTGGCTGTGTGGCTTCTCTGTCATCAGTGTACCTGTTACTCTCATCACGCGCCTCTCCTTCTGTGGCTCTCGAGTCATCAACCACTTCTTCTGTGACATCGCACCCTGGATTGTGCTGTCCTGCACTGACACCCGGGTGGTGGAGCTGACATCCTTTGGCATTGCCTTCTGTGTCATCCTGGGCTCTTGTGGCATTACACTGGTCTCCTATGTTTATATCATTGTCACCATTGTCAGGATCCCCTCCAACCAGGGCCGTCACCGTGCATTCTCCACCTGTTCATCCCATCTCACAGTGGTGCTCATCTGGTATGGTTCCACTATCTTCCTGCATGTGAGGACCTCGGTGGAGAGCTCTTTGGACCTGACCAAGGTCGTCACGGTGCTCAACACCATTGTCACACCAGTGCTGAATCCCTTCATTTACACTCTGAGGAACAAGGATGTGAAGGAGGCTCTGTGTAGGATGGTGAAGAGGAGGTGATGGGATGGCCAGTGCCATGCAGGCCATCTGCCATGCAGAGCAATCAACTGACCCCACTTCCTCTTTACCACTGGGAAGAATCTGGAGAAGTCTTTATGAATATAAGACAGATTAGTGTACCCAGGGTTTTAGAGTAAGCCCATAGGAGTGGGCTCAAGAAATGCTATTGTTAGTATTATTTTCATAATTCAGAAAATAAAACACTGTACAAACTATTCCCCATCTCTCTCATTTTACCTCAAACAACTAACAGGGGACATGCCCTCCCTTTAGTGTCCAACCTGATCTCTTCTCCACCCGGAACCCCTGGAGGAACTGGGCTCTCACTAGCTGGTCTAGATAAAAACTGAAGAGCTGTATCTTGGACAGGTGATCCCAGTAATACTGAGCAAGTTTACTCCATTGAATCACTTAGGAGCGCTGGCTTCAGGTCCTTTAGGGTCACAGGATACTTGCCCAGATTAGAGGATGAACTGGTTTAGCTGCCTTGCCTGCAATGGGCTGTGTGCAGGGACTGGACCAAGCCCCTTTTCTACTCTGTTGCTCAGGTTGGGGCTGGTGGAGCACTGGAGGTGCTGGGAACACTGGGGCTCACCACTGCATAAGCCTGTGTGGGGGAAGTTCCTTGGATTTTACTCTGGGCCTGCTTCTCGGGCTCATCCCAGAGTCCCCTCAGTTGACACTGTGCTGGCTCCCACCTCTTGCACTGCAAGTTACCCTGCTCATTCCAGTCTGATGGCTATGTGCTCCACCCTATGGTTTTCACTCACTTTATCCTCAGAGTGAGAGCCAAGGTAGGGGTTTCTGATGGCTTCTTCTCACAGTGACACCATGCCTGGACTAGTGCAGGATCACAGGTACCTGCAGCTATCTGTCCAGAGCCTGGAGGTGACACCACCACACTGAATTGGAGGCCCCCTTTACCCAAGGCCTCCAGTCAGATGACTCATTGGTCCCTTCAGCTTGCACACTCAGTCATATGTAAGTACTGATATTTGTGTAGCCATCATGCTTTTGTGAAGTTACACAGCAAATGACAAAAAGCATCCCCTTTCACTGGTTCATGTGTTTGCTAACTTGATGGCAAAGGTTAGTAACAGCTCACATTAACACAGTTTGATGAACTCCCAGTAACACCTAGAGGAGATGGGTGGTGGCAGGGGACAGAGGGACAGGCAGTTCAATATCTGTGATCTGCTGTATAGCAGCCTCACACACGGAGGACCACCACTATCCTTCATTGTTACAGACCAGACAGATGCTCCTCAAGGTCCCTCAGTCTCCTCTCCTCTCATTCTGATGGAGGTGGCCCTGCTCTCATGAATTTTTCTGTAGATTCCTTTCCTCAGAGACTAAGGCCTGAAGTGACCCTGGGTGACCAAGGATTGGGGTAGGGGGCAGGGAGTGCCTGGCCCTCTTCAAGGACCCATCCCTTGTCTGTCCCTATCTTGCTCCAGGATTGCCCTACTGCTGCAGCCCATGTTAGAGGAGTTGTTTGAGACTCTTCTAAGACTTCTCCCTTTGGAGGTGGACTGTGGTCCTTCCCAGTTCTGCTTGTTATGGATCCGGGCTCCTAGTGGTGTGCAGGTGCTGTGTATGGACTTGGGGTTAAAGGTCTTCATCTCCTTAGGTTCTGCCTGATTCAAGACATCCATTGCTCCTCATCCCTGCATATGTCATGAATTTTCTTGGGCAGTGATTCAGCAGGAGGAAGTACTGTGCAACACTGCTGGGTTCTGGACACACCCTAAATGGGGCTTCAGATGAGCAGGTTTTGGAGAAAAGGAGCCCTCTGGGGCTGCAGGCCAGTGTGGCCAGGTCCTGCATTCTTGGGGAAAGTGGTCTTGCCTGTCTTGCATGCCTACCAGGACTTTTGCCATACTTTGGCATTGTGAGATGAAATTTGGCTCTTGGGATTGGAAACAGGACAGATTTTAAGGAAATGCTATCTTTTATCATCTTCTAGGACTGAATCCCCCACAATGAGGAAGTCTGCCCAATGAATGTAGGATATCTAGAGATGATCTGGTCCAGGTGAACAAGTGGGGAACAGCATTGCCATGGCAGCAGGGAGGAACCTGTGGAGGCTGCCATGCTTTTAGCCTGTTGGCAAGAAGAATGAATCACATTAACTGATCTTCAGATGCTCAGTCTTATACATCTTGAATAAATTCCACTTGGTATAATTACCTGGCAGATTTGATTTCCTAATAAAGATCCTTAAAGTTTATTTTGACTAATAATAAACGTATATATTTATGGTGTACAACATGTTACTTCCAGTACATCTTTATGGAATGAGCAAGATTTGCTCATAGATTGTTGAGGAGATTTTTATCTATCTCCACAGAGGTACAGATCTGTAGCTTCCTCTCTTATACTGCCTTTGCCCGGTTTTGCTGTTTGTGTGATGCTGGCCTCACAGAATAAATTTAGCAAAGTCCTTCCACACCTAGCCTCTGGAATCCGGTGTAGAGAACTGGTATAACTTCTTCATTACATTTTTGGCAGAATTTACCAATGAACTCAACTGGGTCTGAGGCTTTCTTTTTTAGAAGATTAATATTGATTCAATTTCTTTAATAGAAAAATTAAAATGTAAAAGAGAATATCTTTTATTGTTTTATCTCATTATAAAATGATACATGCCCTGAAGGAGTCACAGTAGTCGTTTATATTTAGATGGTTTCAAATACTTTTCTAGGCAGATCTTTATCCCCATGAATCAGAAACAAAACATGATCCAAACAGAGACTGCATGGCCTTCACATTGGGGATACATGTATCCAGTGGAACATGGTCACTGGAGATGTGGTGTGGCTGGGTGTGTGGACAGTGGATCCTAAGTGTGTGGGTTGTGGGGGGGCAAAGCAAGTGTTCCCTTACCAGCTGTCTCCTCAGCAACTGTCCCCTCAGTAACTTCCCCCTCAGCAGGTGTCCCTCAGCAGAGCAAGTGGCCCTCAACAACTGACTATTTGGGTGTGCTTCTTGTCCCAGCATCCACTTGGGGAGGAGGTTGTGACTCAGCATTGGCCTTTCAGGCTTATGGGCTGGGCAGCAGACAGGCCCCAGAGAGCCTAGAGGAATCGCCAGTGCCATGACCCAGGAAAAACAAGCAGGTAACCCTCTCACCAGTCCTCCACACCTGGGACTTCAGTGTCTCCCATTTTGCAACTGGTACAAGGCACACTGGGACTGATCAGAAGCCTCCCTGAAGCCCAAAACAAGCACAGACAACTAGTCAGTTATTGAGGGGCACCTGCTTAGGGTACATCTTCTGAGGAAGTACCTGTTGAGAAGGCAGCTGCTGAGGGGACACTTACTGAAAGGGTCTCTACTGAATGGACACCTGCTGAGGGGTTGTCTGCTGAAGTGAAGTGTGCTGAAGAGACATTTGATAAGAAGGCACTGCCGAGGGGCCAGCTGCTGAAGAGACACTTGCTAGAGGGGGCACCTGGTGAGGGGACACCTGCTGATGGGATACCAGCTGAAGGACAGCCCCTGAGGTGGTCCTCCTGAGGCACCTGCTAAGCAGGTACCTGCCCAGGCTGTCTGAAGCATACTGGCTCCACCTGAGTTTCGGCTCATGGCCAGTTTCCATGCACTGCAATTTAAGTCTTCCCATAACTCTGTACTACAATCTTTTCCAAGCAGCAGGTGGCAGCAGTTTCAGCTGTCACCCTGCTCCTTAGGTGGAGCACCAGCACAGTAAGCCCAGGGGTGCCCCACACGTTGCCTGTTTGTATTTCACCCACAGGGCTGGCAGTACTGCATGAAGAATTTTTCTTTTTATCCTGAGCCCTGTTTCTGATGAAAAGTTTGTGCTCTTCTGGCCACTGGAGAATAGTGCACAAACCTCTTGGTACCCAATCAAATTAATAATTTACAAAAATTCCAGCCAACTTTTGTGTGAGAACTTTTAATAGTTTGGGGATTCTGTGTTGCTCTCCCTGGGGTACTATTATGAAGGAGGCAGCAGAGGTTGTGGGAGGCTGAACAGCAGCTGGGGGCTCCCTTGTCAGGCTCTGGGTTTATTACTCGAGTGGTTCTGATTTGTTAGGCAGGAAAGTGTCGAGGGCATTATAATGAATGGTAAAGACTATTCCAACTAATAATGATTTAAATTTGCCATAGAATTCAGCTCAGAAGTAACTTAATTTCAAACAAGCAATTATGTATGAGTTGGTGTGTGCTCCTGAGGGATGGGGTATCAGCTAGAGGTGGAAAGGTGAGGAAAGAGGTGAGCTCCTGGAGAAGTTTCTTCTCTCAGTGTGTGATGCAAGGGAGAGGCCATGGGGAGGAGGCAAGTTAGGGCTTCCTGGCTTGGCAACTCCTCTATTTCCTGGCCTTTATGGAATTTTCTTGCAAAAAGGCAGCTGCTTTCTGGAGACTTCGGGCTGTGTCAGCCCTCAATCTGGAGTCTGTTGTTTGTCACATGACTAATACCTGTACCTATAGGCCAGGACACCAACATTTCTTAGACACTACCATGTCATTAAAAGGCCTGAACCTGATTGGACAACCGTTGGAGTTCTGTGATTCTTTAATAATTTTTCATTTTCCACCATCTACGTTTTAAAGAGATTAGATGTTTTTTCCCCCTTTGGATATGTAACTTTTGAAAAGTGACAAGACACAGGGTATGCTTTGATGAATTTTCATAAAATGGACCCACTTATGGAAGCAGTACCCTGATAAAAAATCAGCCATGCCTCAGAATGTCAGAACTCTCTACCAGGGCACAAGGGTTTTGGTCACCTGACACTTGCTTTGATCTTCATAGAGAATGTCTTCTTTCCTGCTAGGTCTCTTATTTGTCATCATTTGCAATGTCTCATGTCCTGTGGACTGATTCATGACTCTGACTACATCCCATTGCATGAACAGACCCCAGCTCATGCACTCCACTGTGGGGGATATTTACATTTTCCATGTTTTGGTTAACATAAACAGTGCTACTGGAAGACGCACATGCATTTATCTTGGGCATGTAATTAGGA